CATTTGTATTTATACTTTTAACAGAGGTATTACAGATGAATAATTGTGCACTGTGTATTATAGGAGGAAATTGAGTTCTATGAAGCCACAATTGCTCTGGTTGCTGATGTCGATGAAGAGGAGGTGCCTGGAGGAGTTCCTTTCTCACCACGTCAAGTGTTCATAGTACTTGAAGATCAGGTTGTTATGACTCATCACTCATGGACTGATGCCCTGGTGTGTTTGTTTGGGCTAATCTATGCTCTGCATCTGAGCTATCCTGAGAAGTGTACTGGCTTTTTTGAGTTCATTCAAGTAGTGTTGCTGAAGCTAGACGATGAGAGAAAGCAACTAAAACCAAAATTGCAGACACTAAAAAATGAGCTTGTGTAGATGATGTTTGTTTTTCACTGTCAGTATAGTCGTGCTTTTTCAGTTATCTGTGAATGGCTTCAATAGTTTTATTTGTTCAGGGTAATTAGCTTTCTAAAAAGCAATGTGGAGAAAGCTAAGAATAAGGAGACAATCCATATTTGACGTTTTGTTTGTGATTGAAAAAAATCTTTACATAGTGTGTAATCTTAAGCTTATTTCTAAAAACACCTTTTAGTTACATGGAAATCTTTTGGAAGATAACTGATAATTAGTCAATATGTACAGTATACTTTCAAGCTTTATTTTTTAATTGTGTGATGAGTGCCAGTTTACTTGATTCGAGGTCTGGGCAAAACTGTTGAGAAGCCACAAATACCTTTGAGAATATTTTTTGTTAGTGACGCTGTTTTCTATAGTTGCATTGCGTTAGTGCATCTGATTTCATTATTATACTAAATGTTACTTAAAATTGTGATTGTTATGGCTCTAATTGCCTCTAGACTATTGTTTTTTATATGATGTACACCTAAATGTGTGTTTTGTATATTTAATTGATTTTCAAAATGCTACAAAAAACATTCAAAATTCCCTAAAAGCGCAAGTTTTAAAATGCCTAATTATTTGTTTGTTTGATAATGGCTTTAGCAGTCATAGGTTATGACTCAAAGTATGGTTGTATTCATTCTGTATTTTCTCTGCAGTTAAAGTTAATAAAAACTGAATGGAAAGAACAATAGCTTGGTTTTGTGTTAATAGTACTTGAACCATTTGGTGCAATCGGTTTCCCCAAATGGATTAAGTTGTTTAAATACAACTATTTAAGTTAATTTAACTTAATTTGAATATGAGCATGTACCATTTTAAATAAGTTTGAATAAATACAGCATCTTAGTACAACAAATTTAATGGTTTAAGTTAAAACATACTAAAAACAATGAGTAAATAAACATAATGCATTTGAGTTACATTATCATATTTGCTTTGGGTTCTCGGGACTCTAATAAAGTACTTAAATAACCCAAAACTGTTTAAGTTATAAAACTTGAATCAATTGGTGCAATCGGTTTCCCCAAATCATTTGAGTTAACTTAACTGGTCAGGTTTTACAGTGCAGATACTGAACAGGAAAGAAAAGATAAGTTAAAAATAATACAGTATTGATCAGAAATAAATGTCCTCGGAACAAATACAGTCAATATTTACACCAAAATAAAAACAAGGTCCATTGTGTGTCCTATCATAAATGTGGGGCCTGATGCATATTCTGCATCATGAAAAAAAATCCATGACGCTGATATAATTTATGGTAGTGAGACCAGAGTAATCATCGACATGTATCGTTGAAATCCTCCACTACAACCAATCTCAGCAATTTTATAGTAGATGAGGAATAGAAATTATTTAAGAAGAAAGTAAGGATGAGGGTCTTGTGGAAAACCGGTTCGCAGTTGCTCACTACCTAGGAACTGTTAGTCTGCTCACCTGTTGATTCCACTTATTGGTTCCACTTGCATTTGTGCTATAATTAGCTGATTTCAGTTTGTGTGCCAGAGGAGGAAAATAGTGCCACAATCTACAGCATAGATATGAACTTTACTTTTATATTTTAGAGCCAAACCTAAAAGTTATTTTGGTAGTCTCATCCCACAGCAAATTAAAATAATGACCCAGGAAACATATGAATTTGAAAATAATCACCTATAATTTTAATATTACTCAAGGGCAGTGTTGGTCAAGTTACTTGAAAAAAGTAATCAGTAACTAATTACTGATTACTTCCCCAAAAAAGTAATCCTGCTACTTTACTGATTACTTATTTTCAAAAGTAATTAATTACTTAGTTACTTAGTTACTTTTTAAAAACACCATTTACAACCTGAATAGGTGATAAAGCGATAGCTCTTTCAGCCCAATTCTACTTTTTCTGCATAATCCATCATACAAAATGTAATCAAATGGAAAAGTCCCTTTTTAAAACTTGTTTTATTAGTTTGAGTCTTTTAACTTCATGCATCAAGCAAAAATTTAATTATATGCAACATTCTCTGACTGGAAGAAATTTGTTTAATATTTAAACCTATTTTCTGCACATTCCAGCACATCATTTTTTATTTTTTTTTGTGTTTACACTCACTCTTTCAAATAGATGCAAGTAAAACACAGCAGAAAATAAATAAAATCAAAGATTAGCAGTCCTTTTGCTCTATTTTCACCTGTAAAGCAGGAGTTGGGTAGGCGGAGGTTTACCCTGGTGCAGGTGTGCCGCGGCGGTCAGTGGAAGAATCCGCGAGTTTCTCTGTGAGTTGCGCACTTGGTGGTTGCTTGGAAGTTACGGGGGGGTCTTTTCGCTGTAAAAAGAAGTTTTCTTCCCACGCACAACTGACACTAATGTTTTCGTCTTTTTTTATGGAATCAAACTCAAACTAAGGTCAGTACTTCCATGCTTTAAACGCTGCACGCTCATACGCCATTGTTGATCTGCACACAGCTGTTGTCATGAACGTAGCACTTGCTTACATCACTGTCATAACACATTCTCGCAAAAAAATCACGGTTTTAGTAACGCAGTAACGCAGCGTTCCTACGGGAAAGTAGCGGTAATCTAATTACCGTTTTTGCTATAGTAATCCCTTACTTTACTCGTTACTTGAAAAAAGTAATCGGATTACAGTAACGCGTTACTGCCCATCTCTGCTCACAATGCACAGCCAGCTGTTCATATTCTTATAATAAAAATGAAGTAATGTGTTAGGTAGCACTTTTTATTACAGCTCGTAACAAGGAAGAAACAAGAATGTAATCATATGGTAATTTCAAAGTTATTACCATTCAACTGCCCATGGTAGATTCTGCATAATAAGCAGAAAAAGAGGTGCGAAATTCAAAACTGGCTGTTTCTATTTAAAACATATGGACACCTATTAAAGCTAACTTTAATAAAATGTGTTTATTACCTGGCAATATCTCTGGTAGTTTCTGTGTAATAAGCAGGTAAGAGAGCTATAAAACGAAAAACTGCCTGTTTGTATTTAATAATATATTAATAACCATGTTACGGCCCTAGCTGGGCCTCCTGATACTGCCCTTGTGTGGGCGTGGTGTTTTTCTCCGCCTCCTCCTCTCTTGCTCCACCCCTCTGTCTCTCTCTTGCTCTTCTCTCTCCCCAGGACACAGCTGCTGCTCATTGGACTCATTTACCACCTGGGGATGAGCTGTGAGCAGGGTGGGGTGTTTCTCTGGTGTCTTCTGCTTTGTGGTCTTGGTGTGTAGTTAGCCTGCCTGAAGTGTGGAGTTGTGGAAATAGTATAGCTGCTTTACATGAGTAGTGTGGGCTTGTGGGCCTCGGCAGCAGTAAAGCTAGCTGCTGCTAGTGACAGGGTGAGCTTGTGGGCCCCTGGAAGTGCCTCCTCGTGGTGTGGAGTTTTTGTTTGGTTGTTGTGTTCTTTGTTGTTGCAACCTTTGTTTTTTTCAAGTGTTATTGGTAGAACGGCATTGCCGGCTCTTTATGTTAAGATTATCTATAATAAAGGCTATTTTATTTACTAAAAACACCTGCCTGTTTTCCTTTCATTCTGTTCTGGACTCATTTGTTACTGGTCCCCTCACTCGCATGCCTAGACCCCTTCGGGGGGAACGTAACAAACCATGTAATAACCTTTAAAACAAACTTTAAGAATAGTAATGTCTACCAGGAAACACCTGTGGCAGTTTCTGTGTAATAAGGAGCAATTTAATACAATTTAATGCTTGTGGTGTGAGCAGTCAGGGGAGCAGTGAGCTCCACATGGAACAAAAGGAGCTCTAGGACTCTGATCCAGGAGCCTGGCTTAAATGCCCTTGTTTTTCCCCTCATATTTGCCCCGTTGTCATCAGACTGACCTCAGCAGTCCTCAAAGGGAATTTTCAGCTCTTCCAGCCTGTTTAAAATCATGGATGTGAGATGTTTCCCATGGATTTTTCAGCGTCCACAAGCTGACTGACACAGAAAATCAGAAAAATGTGTAGAATGTGCACTGCACATGTATGGGTGGCACTGCAGAGTTATATTCTCTTGTTAGAGCTCTACTGTTTAACGCTGAGTCAGGTGTATGGTTTTAAGGCACAAAGACTACGACAGATGTGGCTGTATACCTGGTGATGACAAACAGTGGAAATAAGGTCTCTGTTAAGATGGGGTTTCCAATTCCATTGTTAACTTTTTTCATTTGTCTGCTTTTTCTCAGCTTGTTCCATTAGGAGTTGCCACAGCAGATAATCTGCCTCCATCCCATCCCTATTCCTAGTATCTAGTCGACAAAGAGCCAGCCAGGGCAGTTCACCCTTCTGCTTAAGTGATACTTACACAGTGACTGAGCTATTTACAAAAGAATATTTACAAAATCCAGGTTTCTCTCGAGAAAACATGCAGAGATTGAAAGTTTGGAGGCCAAGCACAGGACTTGCTGTTGTCAGGTGAAAACACCTGCTGGAGAAACATTTTTGAAATGTCCAGATTGTGGAGGCAAGCATCAACGACACATGCCCCCCCCCCCCCGAACACCCAGCAGAACTAGTCCAGGACCCGGGGCTTAAGCAAGGGGCCGGAACGGCTGACCTGGGGGGGGGGAACTGACAGAGGGCAACCCAGCCCGGGAGCGAGGCTGGCTCTAGCGGTCAGAAAAAGCTGAAGACGACTCAGACTCCATTGATTTTGGGTCACTCCTGGGGGAAAGAACAGAATCCATCAGCCCGGTGGCAGGTGGGTGGCTGTGGCGAGGGGCCTGGGCCGGGACCACCTGATCCTGTTGCATAACATGTGCAGGCTTAAGTCTGTCAACAGAGACAACCTCCTGCCGACCGCCAAAGTCCAAAATGAAATGTTTGTTGCCTGGTTTAAGAACCCTGTATGGCCCGTCATATGGTGGACGCAGCTGAGTCCTATGGGCATCGTGCCTGACAAAAACGAAACGAGCAGAGTCCAACGAACTCGGAACAAAAGTGTCAGGCAGGCAGTGGTGCACAGGACCAGGAACAGGAAATGAGTCTCTTGGGGGGCGAAAAGGCAACAAAGAGGCATCGAAACATGGGGGAGGACTCTCAGGTAAGAATTCCCCGGGGACCCGGAGAGGCAGGCCGAGGACCAGTTCAGCCGGGGAAACCCTGAGATCTTCTTTAACCGCGCTACGCAATCCCAGCAAAACCCACGGGAGACGGTCGACCCAGTCGCCACTTGTTAAGGAAGCCCGGAGCGCGGCCTTAAGTGACCGGTGAAACCGTTCGCACATCCCATTAGCTTGCGGGTGGTATGCTGTGGTGCGGTGGACCTTGACTCCCTGGCCGTCAGCCATAGCAGACCAAAGCTCAGAAACAAACTGGGGTTTGCCGTGCTAACACCTACTGCTCTCTGGCAGCAGCACCATGCTCTCCCTTGTTTTAAATGCACTTTAGAACAACACGCAGCAACACTACACATGAGCGGGAGGAGGGAGGTATGGGGTCTTCACACACCCCCGTTCTCTGCTAGCCATCGGGGCGGGGGGGCTGGGAGGAGATGTTGGCTGTCCGATTAGCCTCCCTGCTGCTGCGGAGCCTGGGACGGTCTGCTTGCCTCCACCCCGGGGGGAAGGGTAACATCTCTTGGGTCTGGGTTCTGTTTCCCCCTCTGGGGGCGAGGGTACCTGGACCTGGGGTATAGAGTATGTTTGGGGAGTGTGATTGTGTTTACATGTCCATTTATGTCAATCCTTACGTTGGGTGAGTGCTGAGTGTTTGTATACTGTATGTGTGCATGAGGGTGGGAATGCATGTTTGTGTCTGTGTGTGCCTGTTTGTCTGTGTGTATATGTCAGGTCGGGTCTTAGACTCCACCTCTCTGGGAACTCCCAGGCCCTCCAAGGCCTATCTCCCCTCACCACACTCCCTGCCGGTGATTGATGCCTTCAGGGGTTGGTGCATTGGTGGTTCTTGGTGTCCGGGGCTGGGCACTCAGGTATGTACCAGCTTGCTCCCGGTGGCTACCTGGCGGGGCCTGGCACCTGTTGCTCGGTCAGGCCTCCTCCGGGTGCGGGGGGCCCTCAGGCCTCCGGCCCCTGGGCCTGCGGCTCGGTTCACTCTGGCACAGCTGGCTGCCGGCAGAGCCGGCGGGCACGCCGGTGCAGCCCCCTCTAGCTTCTGCTCGGTGGCTACTGGATGACGCCTCGTCTGGGGATCCTCAGCCCTTCCCATGAAGGTGGCACGGATGCCCCTCCGGTGGTCCTCCTTGGGCTCTCGCACTCTGGGGCCTCTGGTTGTCTGGGGCCTCTGGTTGTCTGGGGCCTGGATCTCCTCCATGCCTGCTTCATGCCCTGGGGGACGGGGCTATGGCTCGCTACATCCTCTTGCGGACCATTACATTTGGAAACCATTTGAATACAAGCGCGCTGATCCACACAGGTATGCACACGGGTGTTCACTGCTCGTAGACTTAAATCGCACCTTTCTTGGCTGCTACTTCGAAGCACATTGTGCGCTGTCTGTCCTGCGTGCTGCACAACAACATTGAATATTTAGTATTTACTGCTGTTTACACTTATCTAGATTAATGCGATGGTGTTGTGTTTAGTATGTTGCTTTGTTTTTTGTTTTTTTTGCTTGTTTTCTATTCTTCTCTCAACAGGTGATCCAGGAGATTTTTATTTTTTTTCTCCCCCCCTTTCTCACTGTCCCTCTCCCCTTCTGTTTTTCCTTTCCTTCCTCTTTCTTTCTCCCTTTCCTATCCCTCACTCATGTCTGTCCTTTCTGTAACATCTGAAAATAAAATATAATAAATAATAAAAACAAAGATCGATCAAATGGACCAATACGGCAATGCCACGATGATCCATTTGGCAAAGTAAATCCATTGGGTATCCTTGTTGGTCTTCAGACAACAATTCTGATGGCTAAAGAACCAAATGGGACAGGCCAAAAAAAAAAAGAAAAAAAAGAAAAACAAACAAACTGGGGGCCCCTGTCCGAGGTAATGTCAGCAGGGGGGCCGAAACGTGAAACCCACATTGACAAAAATGCCCTGGCCACCATCGCCACTGTCATGGATGCCAGGGGTACCGCCTCCGGCCACCTGGTTGTGCGGTCCGCCACAGTCAAAAGGTGCGTGAAACCCTGTGACTGCGGCAAGGGACCAACCAGGTCCACATGAACGTGATCGAACCGCCTACCCTGGGACACGGAAAGGTTCGAGGGGTGCCTGTGTGTGCCGGTGGATTTTCGAGCATTGGCATGGAATACAAACCGCCGCCCATTCTTTCACCATCTTGTGAAGGCCTGGCCAAACAAACCTGGCGCTGACCAGCTTGACCGAGGCCCGGACGCCGGGATGAGAGAGGGCATGCACCGAGTCAAAAACACGACGACGCCACGAAAGGGGAACCACCGGGCGGGGGCGGCCGGTGGAAACGTCGCAAAGAAGGTGCGGACTGCCGTCCCACACCGGTGTGTCCTCCAGGACGAGGCCCGTTTTTGTTGACTGAAGGGCAAGGACGTCCGGGTCAGCACGTTGCTCGGCGGCCATGGCAGCGTAGTCGATGCCAACATACACGGGAGAAACCAACACACGTGAGAGACAGTCAGCGACGTGATTGGACTTACCAGCCACATGCTGAATGTCTGTGGTAAACTTTGAAATGGCCGCCAACTGGCGCTGCTGGCGTGCGCTCCATGGGTCAGAGATCTTGGACATCGCAAACGTCAAAGGTTTGTGGTCAACGTACGCAGTAAAGTTTTAGATTAGATTAGATTAGATTAGATTAGATTAGATTAGATAGAACTTTATTAATCCCTCGGGTGGGTTCCTCTGGGAAATTCGATTTCCAAAAAAGCACAGCACCGACAGAAGTTACAGAGTTGCAGAATATTATATATATATATATATATATACACACACACACACACACACACACACATATATATATAAATACAGAGACAATATAAATAAAATATACGAAGGGGATAAATAGAATAAATAGGAATAAAAAATAAAAATACAAGTGAGTTGCGACCCTCGAGGAAAAAACGAAAATGTCGTGTCGCGAGGTGCAGGGCCAGCAAACTCCCTGTCAAAAACACTGTACTTGCGTTCAGCGTAGGGCTGGGCCATATTATACTGTTCACGGTAATACCGGTATAATGTTAGGCAACGATAGGAAAATGAAATATCGTGATAGAATATGAGTAAAACGCGCATGCGCAGTGCCTTTGTTTTCATACGCACATGGCCGATTGTTGAGTGAAACAGATGAACCAGAATTGGTTTGTAAAAATGGTGCAACTTCAGTGATGTGGAACTGGTTTGGTGTTTGTCCGTCAGATACACGACAAAGCACATTTTTTTGCAGAACATGCAAGCAGCCGTCGTTATTGTCGTATTTGTCAGACTAAGATGCTCTTAAATCTGGGAGTAATCTGGGTCCTAAACTCCGTATGCTTCAGGTCAAACGAACACTGCAGCATCACTGAGAGTTAAAAACTGTCTAAATTCTTTCATCTTTAATAAAACGATCAGCATTGCTGCTTAACCAGGTGTAACTATGAAGTTTAACTTCCAGGCATCCATGAAAACAAAATTTATTACATTTAACGGAGTCAGAAGTTAGCAGGAAGCTAGCAGAAGTTAGCTCGCTAGTTTCGCTAGTTACCTAAGCATGATATTGCATGTTCTGACTGAGAGATTTCTGAAAAAATTCAAACGTACAGCTCTGCTATCACTTCCAACATAAATGAAGACAGGAAACTAAACAGCAGTGACGTTTGTAGGGTTACTGAAGTTGGGCTAGCTGGTATATAATGATGTGCTACGTGATCGCTAGCGACACAGCTACATTAGCATAACATAAACAGAGAAGCTGGAGGATGAACGCTAACACTTTTCCACTTATAAAAGTTAACGTTAAGGTTCCTGATAGTTAGAGACAAATGCAATCGCATGGCAGGATGCTGTAAACGGACCAAACTTCAGTCAGGAGAACAACTGAGATAATCCATCCACAATACGAGGTTAGTCATTAATATACTGCAACAACATGGGAATAGAGCAGCTGTGATAGAATACAGCATAAATGAATCAATGGTACAGAAGTGGAGGAAGCAAGAAGAATGAGTTTAATAAAGTTTGATTTATCTGACTGCTTTGTTTCGCTTAATGTGCCTTATAGTCCCGTGCACCTTATGGTCCGAAAAATACGTACTGCACACTGCAGTTTAATGTTGCAAAGCACCTCTTTTTAACTTCAGTGGATATTATACATGGTTATGCTCAGGATATGTCAGCCCATTTCTACTGGAAATGCCTTTTGGTTAAACTTTCAGCAAGGAATTTGCATTTGCACTGTTACATTTTTATAAAGCTTTAATGTACATAAAAACCAGCTTCTTGTTTAAGTGAAAATAAATGGAAGGTTGTCTTTTTGCGCTAGTAATGTTGTGGAGTTGTATTTTGTCTCGCATCAATTATATCGTCAGTTATATCGTTATCGCAAATTTTCAAATATATATCGTGATAAATATTTTTGGCCATATCACCCTGCTCTAGTTCAGCATACGACTGAAAAAGGCGAGCGGATGCCAGAGACCTGAAACCCGCTGTTCCAACACCCCACCCACTGCCACGTCAGACGCGTCGGTTGGTCAACGTGTTCCGGCAGCCAGTCAACCGGATCTTTGGCTGTTTTACCTTGTAAGGAAGCATAGAGTGGCTGTAGCAGGTGGGCAGCTCTGGGGAGAAAGCGGTTGTAAACATTTATCATCCCCAAGAACTCCTGCAACGCTTTAACCGACGTGGGACGTGGAAAAGCCGAAACGGCCTGGACTCTGTCGGGCAACGGAACCACACCTCCAGCGGAAATGCACGAGGAAATCTGGAAATCCAGAACAGGCAACCCAAACTGGCACTTTGAAGGGTTGATGATCAGGCCGTGCGCTGCCAAATGCTGGAAAACCTGATGGGACTTGAAGAGAAAATCTCCGTCCCGGTTTCCCTCCAAGGCGTGAGCACCGATAAGCAGAGTTTTGTCCTTTCCTTATAAGATTCCTAATTATTCAAAGTAACACTCAGGTATGCCGCTCAGCTGGGTTAGTTACGACGTCGGGAGCAGCTTGGGAGAACAAGGAAACACAGACTGCTTCAGGTTGCCTTCCCAAATCGACTCAAAGGTTTATTTAGTACATAACAGCTTATATAGAGGAAAAAAAGGTTCGTGTGTCAGCAGGTTCTCAGTTCAAACCGGTACAGACCAAATAAGGAAACGTCTTCCTGCCTTGTGAGCAAAGAAGTATCCTTTGTGTAGTTTATCAGTTCAGCTACAATTTATGATCA